GCAAGTCTACCAGGCTCTGGGCTGGTACTAGGGGACAGTATGTACACAGTCATGTGATGTGAACCATCTGTGGGTCTCTTAAGCCAGGATACCAGCACCTGTTCCAGTAGAGGTGGTAGGAGGGTGAAATGGATTCTATGAGAGGTCTTAGCTTTGCTGGTTTAATGCACTATTTTTGTGCTGGTTGGCCTCCTGCCAGGAGGGGGCACTCTCCAGAGAGCATCAGTTATTGTAGTATGGGAATGAAGAGGTGATATATGGGGTTCTAGAACTCCCAAAAACATATGAGACATTTAATCTCCATTGTTCCCAGTAATAAGAAAACCAGAAAAGTGCTTTCTTGCTTGACATGAGAAGTAAACTAAAAAAAGGTTCAAATTGAACTTGAAAATGTGAGACTTTTAAAAGTTCTTATTTTGTCACAATAATCAAGATACTAACAACCACCTAAATGTTCAGGACAGTTGAATGGATAAATGTGGCAATATACATACAACCAAATATAATGTATCCTTAAAAAAAACCCTGTCATATGCTACAACATGGATGAATCTTGAGGACACTACACTAAGTAAAATAAACCAGTTACAGAAGGACAAATATTGCATGAATCTACTTATATCAGGTATCTAAAACAGTCAAACTCATCATATCAGAAAGTAAAATGGTGGTTACCAGGGGCTAGAGTGAGACAAAAGTATTGTTAACTATATGTACATTGTTAGAAAAAACCTGAAAAAATCTGTAATTCCCAGCACAGAAGATAAGGGTCACAATTCATACTTGGTTCTAAAATAAACTAAGCATTATATGTCGCTTGGGTTTTCTCATCCACCTTCCCACTTTCCAAAACCAGGTATTCCTTACAGGGTATAAACAAAGAATCCATGAAAAATGGATAACTGCATTAAAAATTCAGGGATAGAATCCTAATAACACATATATACTATGTCCTAGGTATTACCCATTTCAGACTTTTTTTTCCCAGTTTTTGTTTTGAATCTAAAATTAACTCCTTTTTCCATTGATGCTGACACAGAAAGAAATAGAAAAGTGAGGCAATAACTCAGAAAACTAAAAGTAAAATAAGGAATTGTCTCTGGTTTGTTTATTTAGTCTGTTTCTTCTTTAACCCACTGGGTTATTTCTCCATTTTCTATTCTTTCCCAAACAATACCTAACATCTAATAACCTCTTCATGTTTTCTTCAGCTGGAACACTAATCCCACTAATATGCTTAAACTCAAAATCTGTACTTCACACTCTAGCCCTCTGTTCTTCTTTGCCTATATAATATCTGTACTATAATATTCTGCCACCAGGGACAACTGAATATATGGCATTATCATCTGAATCACTTTGCCTTCCTGATTTTTCTATTTCTAGGTTTTTCTAGTCAATCTAGGTTTGTTTCCCTTCACCACTCCTTTTCTTTCTGATCTATCCTCCGTCAGACAGGATATTCAGGCAAGTCTATCTGTGAAATAGCTCTGGATTTATCCCATTTCTAGTCTCACTGTAACCAGCATGTTTCAGACCCTCATCACACAGTATCTTCCTGCATGGTTCCCAACTCTAAAGTCCAATCTAGCTCACATAACACTCCTAGATAGCACAGCTTGAGTTCTCTCTGTCTAGCAAATTAAAACCTGATAGCTTGGACCAAGATTCTAGTACCAACTCTCCACTAAGCCTTCTGTACCTACTCATTGGTATGATTCTCACTTCACCTTTTTTTTTTTTTTTTTTTTTTTTTTTTGAGACGGAGTTTTGCTCTTGTTACCCAGGCTGGAGTGCAATGGCACGATCTCGGCTCACTGCAACCTCCGCCTCCTGGGTTCAGGCAATTCTCCTACCTCAGCCTCCTGAGTAGCTGGGATTACAGGCACGCGCCACCATGCCCAGCTAATTTTTTGTATTTTTAGTAGAGACGGGGTTTCACCAGCGACATTTTTAAACATCCATATTGCTCTTTTCCTTCCTTCTTCTTGTCAAAAAAAAAATCCTACCAGTTCAAGGCTATTTTTTGTCATGTAAGTCAGAATAGCACTTACCCCTTCTTTGACTGGGAAGGGGCAACAGAGAACTTCTTACAATTTTAGGTATCTTTTATATCTTGATCTGAGTGGGGAGTTGGAAGGATATGTCTTTGAGTGTGCATACAGACAGATACATATGTATAAATATATGTAAAAATACACTGAGGTAGGGCACAGTGGCTCACACCTGTAATCCCAGTACTTTGGGAGGCCGAAGTGGGTGAATCATCTGAGGTCAGGAGTTTGAGACCAGCCTGGCCAAAACGGTGAAAACCCATCTCTATTTAAAATATATATATCTACAAAAATTAGCCAGGTGTGGTGGTGCATGCCTGTAATCACAGCTAATTAAGAGGCTGAGGCATGAGAATTACTTGAACACAGAAGGAGGCAGTTGCAGTGAGCCGAGATCAGACCACTGCACTCCTTCCTGGGCAAGAGAGAGAGACAAAAAGAAAAAAAAATGAATTGTACACTAAAATCTTACATTTGCATGCTTTACTGTATGCAAAATCAAACAAAAAAACTATCTTTCATGAAGCCTTTGATGGGGTTCAAGACGTACTATCCCAAAATATGGCACCTCAGTATTAGAGAAAATGGCAGAACCAGGAAGGCTGCTCTCACCTTCTCTCCTGAAGCAGGTCATAAAACCTAGATTTTTCTGACCTTCCCCTGAGGGTCATAAGACCCTTATTCAAGAGGTGCCCTCTCTATACACAGAGGAAAAGGACATCCTTATCTCTGAATATGAAGCATCACAGAGAAAAATCTGAGCAAACAGACCTTGCTAAGTTCTTCCCAGTTTATCACTATTAGATCATACTGTTTTATCCAATTATGCTTCTCCATGACTATCCTTTTCTATATCATACCTAGCATGAAATATATAGTTTCAGGTTTTCCTTTCCTTATGAAGGCTCCTGTGTCAAGTAAAACTTACTAAATAAATTTGTATGTTTTTCTCTTGTTAGTTGGTCTTCTGTTAGAGAGACCTCAGCCACGAATCTAGTGATGGGCAAGGAAAAGATAAATTTCCTCCCCTATACCTCTGATCCACTGAACCAAAAGAGTTCCTGCCTCTGAATCCCATAGCCCTTTGCCTGTGATACTATTTTCCCGATGTTTATATTACCTAAAGCAGGAAAGTGCACAAGAATCTCCTATAGAGGCTACAAAAATATAGGCATGCCCTATTTAGTAGTAAAATGACATAATGTCTGGAATTTGATTTAATACACTCCAACAAGAACAATAGGTACATACAGGCTCATTATACTATTCTACTTTTATGCATGTTTGAAATTTCCTATTAAAAAAATGTTTTTTTGGCCGGGCACAGTGGCTCACACCTGTAATCCCAGCACTTTGGGACCAAGATGGGCAGATCACAAGGTCAGGAGTTCAAGACCAGCCTGGCCAACATGGTGAAACCCCCATCTCTATAATAATAAAAATTAAAAAAAAAAAGAAGAAGAAAAAAAGAAAAAAACACACACATTTTGGTGAAATAAAATTAGCTAAATGTTGATGCCATTTAAACTGGGTGATTCATACAAGGTGTTTACCTTACTATTCTGTTTACTTTTTTATATCTTTGAAATCTTGCATAATAAAATGTTAAAAATACACATTAATATACACATACTCAAGCCCCAAACCTGGAGATTGAGGGGTGAGAACTACTGAGTTATTTAATTTAAAAAAAAAAAATCTTCACCTACGATTCTGACTTATACCCCATTTGAGAAACACAGCTTTTCATTCTTTTAACAAATATTCACTGAGCATCCAGCAAGCCCTGTATTAAGCTATAAAGATTTTATATTTAAGGAATTTATAGACTAATGCAAGGCAAAAGCAATTCAACCAAACTGCAAGGCATCATGACCACCACAATAGGAGTTCATTCAAGATTCTATGGGTATAGACACTGGCCACTACAAATGTTCATTGTAAGTGAGTACTGCATTTTCTTCATCTTTTAATCCCTATGATTTTTGGCATCAGAGTCTTCACCCAGAAGCTCAAATGTGCTTCACATTCATCTTTATGACAGATATCGACTATTATAAAGAACTGTTTTTTTTTACCATAAACTCTATTTCCAAGGACTTGTATGTCTCTCATTTATTCATTTTAAAGATAAGTGAAGAGGAAATATCTTATTAACAAAATTTCACAGGGAAAGGTAGCACAAACACAGTAGTAAACCTGCTCATAAATATGAACCAAAATGAATACAAATGCAAGTAGCTGCTGTTATCTTGGCCGTATTACAACCAATAGTAATTCAAAAGCTGAGAGATCACTTCAAGACTGATGAGAGAAGACTAGGCACACTGCTCACTTACACATCCCCCATTCCACCCCACAGGGTTTTAAGTGGAACAAAGAAGTTATCCTAAAGCTCTATGATATGCTTAACAGAAATGCAGATACAGTAAAAGTATATTTGATTTGTTCGTAGCATCTTAGATATTTACCTGAGGGATTAGAATTTTAGAGCATGAAAAACAAGGAATTCACATTTATAGTGCTACCTGAAGGTGAAACTCAATTTTTACTTAAATAAGCCATGCTTATATCAGACTTTTCCTTAATCAATTCAACATACTTAAAAATAGACTACCTATAGAATGCCCAGGCTGCTTTTAAGAGTAATCCCTATTAGAACTAATTAATATGCTAAGTAATCTACAGAATGGAAAGGCTAGAAAGCATGATTTCCTCAGATTCTAAACAAATCTGGTTTGATGAATTCCTATTATGTGTTAAGAAGCAGGATTAGATATATCAAAAGCATTTAAGATTCCAAAAATTATCAACAAGTTTCAAAAATACCATTGTAGAAAAAGTTTATAATAAAATAGTCCTAAATGTAGCCAGTTTAGTTAAAGATGTCCTTTAAAAACATTATTTAGGGATTTTGGATTTGGAATTTTTTTTTTTTTTTTGTACCTGATCAAGGTGAGGTTGTGTTCCTGGCACATGCTGAAGTTTTTTCTGCAAACTAAAAACAACTGATTAGAAATTCAGAGATCAATACACTTTTGATTTAACTTTATACGTTATTTAGTGACACAAGGATAATGAAGTGACTTTCCATAACTATTCTATAATTCCAATTTTACACATTGTTCACAAATTCCAACAGAGAAAAGCTGGCAAATAAAGTTTTTAAAAAATTTCCTTAAAAGAAAAAACACACATTCACATACATACATATGCACACAATAAAAATAAAAAATAATCTTCTAACAACACTATTTTGTGTGGTTAAATATGTCAATAAATTTCTTTACCATTCCAACAGGTTTAATACAATCTTATATACATATGTATATAAAACCATTCTAGTATTGCTCAAAGTTCCTTAATTTTCTCCTGCTTCCTAATGTGAAAATAATGCTGGCACCTAAAGAAAGTTAGAAGAATAAATTTTCCTTTATCAATGTTTTGGCTTGAACTTATTAAAAAACAAATAGTATCCAAAAATATAAATTTTATATATAGTCAGTTATCAACTGAGAGAAAAAGAAAGTCAGAATGCTAAAAATGCATTGTTCTGATATAAAAAGCACAAGATCAGTATGGCATAACAAATTACAACCATAACAACTGTAGCACACATTTCAACACTGATGGGGACAGGATGGGAGGGGGAAAGGACCTGAAACCTTGCAGATGTTTTGCCTTGAAGAACAGTGAGGGGTAAATTAGTAATAGCAAGTTTAGGAAAGAGAAAGAGCTGTAGGAACTGTTGGAGGGAATGAGTCTCTTTGGGGGGGTCTTAGCAGGGAGAATGTCAAATTAAATCCTTCCCAGCTGGCTGCTCAGGAAAAGATTCTCTTGGTTAGCAGCTAAGCACACACACAAAAAGTCATGAAAAGGCCTTCTCTATGGTGGTGAGATCACATTAAATAGCTACTTTGAGTGTCACTAAAGCATTATAACTGCTCTTAAGTGTAGAATGAGATTACTTTAGAAAATAATTTTGAAAAATCATATGCTTTTACCATATATTGTTGGACAGTGACTGCCTAAAACTTCATATGCAGCAAAAAAACAAAAATCTGACAACAAACATTTAAGTTTAGTTCCTAGTAAGTCTCAGAATTTCATGTCCTAGATTTTTTCCCTATCACACAAATTTTTAAAAGACTAATCTAGCGGACAAGCATATGCTACCAAAACCTGAAACTCATGAATCTGAAATCCTCATTTTGCACATTAACTTGTAATCTTATAACTATTTTTGTCTCTGCACGCATAAAGTGTAAAAATCTCAGTTTATTGTGTTTTGTGTAAAAACCATTACATTCTATAAAAAACAGTAATTTAGGTATTGACAGTAAGATAGAATTAGCAAAATTTCTATTTCTCCCAAGTAAAAATATAGAATGATATAAAAAACTGGATGCCTTGATGAAAGTACTTGTATTACAGCAAATTACAGCAAAAGACAGAAGTAGAAAGGAAAACAAAAATTGATATACTGAATATCAAGGTGGGAAATGATTTCATACTGTAATTCTTATTATTGGAACAAAGCACTAAAGGATACAATATGTGAAGGGAAAAAATAAAGATTTCAACTAAAAAATATTTTAGTGTTTAACATATTAAATGACAACCAACTTGCAAGCTCTTGGACCCAACAGAGATAAATCAGTTTTAAAAAGGCAAATTTTGCTGGGTTCGGTGGCTCAGGCTTATAATTCCAGCACTTTGAGAGGCTAAGTAGAAGGATCACTTGAGGCCAGGAGTTTGAGACAAGCCTGAGCAACATAGCAAGACCTTGTCTCCACAAAAAAAATAAAATAAAAAATTAGCCAGGCATGGTGGTGCAACCCTGTAGCCCCAGATACTCAGGAGTCTGAGATGGGAAGATCACTTGAGTCCAGGAGTTCAGGACTTCAGAGAGCCATGATAGCGCTACTGCACTCCAACCCAGCTGTCAGAGTGAGACTCTGAGACTCTATGTCAACAAAATAAAATAAATAAATATTAAAAAAAAAAAAAAAGCCAAATGTGGTAAGTGTGGTAGCTCACGCCTGTAATCCCATTAAGGTGGGCAGATCACTTGAGCACAGGAATTTAAGACCAGCCTGGGGTACAAGGCAAAACCCCACTGTTACGAAAAGAAAAAATTAGCCAGGCAAGAAAAAATCAGCCAGGTGTGGTAGTGCATGCCTGTAGTCCCAGCTACTCAGGAGTCTGAGGCAGGAAGATGGCTTAAGCCCAGGAGGCAGAGGCTACAGTGAGCTGAGATCACAGCGCTGCACTCTAGTCTGGGTAACAGAGCCAGACCCTGTCGGGGAGAGAGAGAGAGAGAAAGAGAGAGAGAGAGAGAAAGAGAAAGAGAAAAAGAAAGAAAGAAAGAAAAGAGAGAGAGAGAGAAAGAAAGGAAAGAGAGAATGAGAGAGAGAAAGAGAAAGAAAGAGAAAGAAAGCAAGGAAAGGAAAGAAAGAAAGGAAAAGAAAGGGAAGAAAGGAAGGAAGGAAGAAAGAGAAAGGAAAGAAAGAAAGGAAAAGGAAGAAAGGGAAGAAAGGAAGGAAGGAAGGAAGAGAGAAAGGGAAGGGAGAAAGAGAAGGAAAGGAAAGAAAGAAAGGAAGAAAGAAAAAAGAGAAAGGAAAGAGAGAGAAAGCAAGAAAGAAAGAAAAGAAAGGAAAGAAAGAAAAAGGAAAGAAAGGAAGAAAGGCAAATTTCATGCAGTATTGTTTCGTTTTTCTCCTTGTAAACATATTTAAATGTATCACAGGATCTGTAACTATCAAAACTGTCACAGAATCGAACACAAAAATATAGTTATAATCCAGATGTGGAAGATTTGAGAAAGGGAGCACGGCTAAATAGTGAAATAGCACTGAAACTCAAATGAAGTGCTGGAGACTTGGAGTAAAAGAAAAAAAGGATCATTAAAAGAAAAGTTAGGATGGGCTAGACTTCTGATTATTTCAGAAATGGGTAGCAAAGGACAAAGGCTCTTAAGCTCCCAGAATTAGGTGACAGCCCCAGTCAATCTATCTCCCCAGTAAAACCAGAACTAAGAAGAAAAAAAAAAGACCATTTTTAAATGAACAAACCAAATTTATGGTTAGAGCTATATTAGTTTAATGGAGAAACAGTAGTTTAAAAATTAGTAAAACAAAAGCTTTATATGAAAAAACTTAGTATAATTCTGAATGATTTTCATAAAATCATTCTCAAGTGTTAAGTGATACTGGATACCTGAAGCTGACATAAAGGAAAAAGGCTCAGGGAGATTTCACAACTTCGTACAGGAGTGGCTTGAAAGGATATAGCTGTATTTACCATAAAACAACAAGTAGTCATTTTTACCTTACATAATTTATAAGAATTTTTAGAAAAACAGAAATCGCTCACATGTAATTCAGGTATACCAAACTTTACTGCCTTCCTAATAACTGGAACTAGAAAAACAAAATGCTGATTTTTTTCTAGGTAGTCTAAAAATACCTTTATAATTTTAACTATAATTTGTCTAGTCTAAAAAGATACTGCTCTAACACCAGAAGCTACAGGTGAAATAAATATCTCTCAACTGAAGACAACTTCTTGAATCACTGTCACATTTACTCTCTGAGCTTCAGTTTCCAAACTGAGAAGGAGGAAATAACTGCCCTGCCTAACCACACTTCTGATTGCTGAAATAATGTCAATCAGGTTTTTTTTTTTTTTTTTTTTTGAGATGGAGTCTCACTCTGTCAGCAGGCTGGAGTGTATTGGCACTATCTCAGCTCACTGCAAACGCTGCCTCCCGGGTTAAATCCATTCTCTTGCTTCAGTCTCCCGAGTAGCTGGGATTACAGGAATACACCACCATACCCAGCTAATTTTTATATTTTTAGGAGAGATGGCATTTCACCATGTTGGCCAGATGGTCTTGATCTCCTGGCTTTGTGATCCGCCCACCTCAGCCTCCCAAAATACCTGGATTACAGGCATAAGCCACCACACCTGGCTTTTTTTTTTTTTTTTTTTTTTGACAACTACACTTAAGTTTTCCAACCTCTAAAGTAAAAGAGGGCGGCCAGGCCCGTCTCTTCAAAAATAAAAAAAAAATAAAAAATTAGCTGGGCATGGTGGCACGTGCCTGTAATCCCAGCTACTTGGAAGGCTGAGGCAGGAGAATTGCTTGAATCTGGGAGGCGGAGGTTGCAGTGAGCCGAGATCGTGCCACTGCATTCCAGTTTGGGCAACAGAGCAAGACTCTGTCTCACAAAAATAATAAAATAAAAACATAATAAAGTAAAAGGGATCCAATAAAACACTATCATGTCCTACTTCACAAGTTACTATAGGTACTAAGTTTAAAATGTGAACAATACTACAGACTGAGGGTTAAAAAACACCTAGTCGAAAATATAATTAGTTTTTAAAGGCATGGTTAAGGCAAAATTAGAAACATACATATAAGGCTGGGTGTGGTGGCCCACCCATGTAACCCCAGCACTCTGGGAGGCTGAGGCAGGAGGATCACTTGAGCCCAGGAATTCGAGACCAGCCTGGGCAATATAATAAGACCCCATGCTTACAAAAAATATTAAAAGATTAGTGGGGCATGGTGACACATGCCTGTGGTCCCAACTACTTGGGAGGCTGAGACAGGAGGATCACTTGAGCCCAGGAGGTCAAGGTTCCAGTAAACCATGCTTGTGCTGCTGCACTCCAGCCCGGGTGACAAGTGAGAACAACACCTCAAAAAAAAAAAAAAAAAAAAAAGAAAGAAAGAAAGAAAAAAAATATATATATATAGGAATGAGAATTAGAAGTCTCAAGTATAGAGCCACCCACCATGCCTACCCTTAAGCAAAATTGCCCCACCAAGGCAAAATACCTAAAGAGATGTCCACTCTCATGATCTTGTATGGACATATATGAGACTTATGAGATATTCATTACAGCATTATTTGCAATAGCCAAGCTGCGAGAACAAGTTATGTGCCCTAAGAGAAAAATGAATAACGTAAATGTGGTATATGTAGAAAACAAAATATTACTGAGCCTTAAAAAGGAAATTTTGCTATATGCAAAAACATGGATGAACCTTGATGACATTATGCTACATGAAATAAGCCATTCACAGAAAGACAAATAATGCATGATTCCACTTGTGTCAGAATAAAATAGTCAATCCCACAGAAAGAGTGTAGAATGGTAGACTCCAGGGGCTAAGGGGAGAGGGAAATGGAAAGCTGCTATTCAATGAGTATAAAGCCTCAGTTATACAAGACTGAAATGTTCCAGAGATCTGTCGCACAACCTCAGGCCTATATTTAACAATACTGTATTGTACACTCAAAAAATTGTTAAGAGCATAGATCTCATGTGAAATATTCTTACTACAATAAAAAATAAAAAGATACTGATGCACAAGAATAACTAATCTTTCTTCCTTCCCTCACCAAAAAGATTCCCCATAGAAGAAGGCAGAGAACTAATCCATTATTAACGTAAAGAGAGTTATCTGTGTGAGAGCCCTGAACTAAAATTGTTATGTATCTTCTCATAGAAAGAGTATTATACATAGTGTTTGGTGTAGAAGTGTTAACAATTAGTCTCTGAAGTTAACTATCACTTACACTATAATCTCTATAGGAAAATGCAATATGATTTCCAAACAATTACTTACTTAGTAAAACCTCCAAGAACATACCTCATTAAGAATGGTCTTGTATGCCAGAGGAATGGCAGGAAGCTTAAATGAAGGGTGCAATTGTGCAAATCATTCCTGTTAACTATGGAAAAAAAGTACATAACAATAAAAATAACCAAATTATACAAAACATACCTTATTCCAGAGAGACTATCAAAGGCGTGAAGATCTAACACATTAGAAAGATCAACTCTAAAAGAAAGAAAACTAATGTGAGCAGTTGGAAATTCTGTGAAATATGTCCAATTAATCAAGAAAAAAAATCTCTGACTCTTAAAAAATTTTATATATAAAATTCATTAAAGTGGGCAAATGGTGTAAGATGACCACAGTTGAATCAAGATTGAAAATTATTTGTTTATCATATCAAAAAATGAGGTTGTTTAAACTTTCCATTATCTTTTCAATCCTGAAATTTATGAGCTTTTAAAATACATTTTTATAGCTTAAAAAAAATCAGCTGAAGAACAGAAACCTTTCCAAGCAGCTAATTACTCAAAAGATGAAACAGGCCGGGCGCAGTGGCTCAAGCCTGTAATCCCAGCACTTTGGGAGGCCGAGGCGGGTGGATCACGAGGTCGAGAGATCGAGACCATCCTGGTCAACATGGTGAAACCCTGTCTCTACTAAAAATACAAAAAAAATTAGCTGGGCATGGTGGCACGTGCCTGTAATCCCAGCTACTCAGGAGGCTGAGGCAAGAGAATTGATTGAACTCAGGAGGCGGAGGTTGCGGTGAGCCGAGATCGTGCCATTGCACTCCAGCCTGGGTAACAAGAGCGAAACTCCGTCTCAAAAAAAAAAAAAAAAAAAAAAGAAATGAAATGACAAGTAGAATTAAGTCAAATGGGTACATTCCAAATACCTCTGCAATTTTTGTATTTCTTTTATTTCCCCTCCCTTAATATAACATGCAACATAAAAATATGAGAAGTTGAATAACCAATGTATAAAATATTAAGTTACTCCAGGACCCTGATATTCATGTGATTTGATTTCATTCATTCAGAATGGGGCTGCATGTAGAAAAAAAATTCCTGCTATCTGAATAGACATCATTTCTCTCAGAATTATTTAATGATAATTAAACTTTTTAGGAATGCAATGATTCAAATCAAGTGAGAATAACATATCACAATTAGCATTAGGTTTGGTTAAATATATAAAAGTAAATTTATAAAGACTGGTGATTGTGTTACAATTTTAACATAAGCCCATAAAACAGCATAGGACAGTGATTTCTCCACAATCAAACCTAAGGCAAAGGAATGTTTAAAAATGACAAACGTATAATTAAATTTCAAAATTAGATTCCAGGAGCTTGTCAAACATTCGTTAAATTTTCTTACAAGGAAAAAAAATTTCATTGGTCAGATTAGGTATTTTTTTTTTTTTAATGCATAACATGTAAGAAAAAACATCTCCTTTATCTTAGGACTGACCAACTGTGCCTGCTCTGTTCATTCTCAGCAGTCTACGACATACTCATACTTGTGGCAACAATAATGTGTTAGATTACGAATGCTTGTCTTGGCAAAAGGCATACAAATTCCCATCTTATTACTCCAGAGTTCTCTGTTAATAGACTGTAACAAGAACTTGAATTCTGGGCATTTTATATGTGCAGAGAAAAATGATCAAGTACAGAAGTAAATGTTCCATGAAGAAATTTCAGAATACCAATTTACACTAAGAGGCCAAAGTCTTAATATCAAACACATTTCCTTTTTCACTTCCCACCCCCACCACCACTGAGCATATTTATATTGACGGGTCACAAATTACTGAAGTTGCATGGACATGGTGGCTCATGCCTGAAATCCCAGAACTTTGGAGGCCAAGGTGGGCAGATCACTTTGAGGCCAGGAGTTTGAGACCAGCCTGGCCAACATGGCGAAACCTCATCTCTATTAAAAATATAAAATTTAGCTGGGCGTGGTGGCGTACACCTGTAATGTCAACTACTGGGAGGCTGAAGCAGGAGAAATGCTTGAACCCAGAACGCAGAGGTTACAGTGAGCTGAGATCATACCGCCACAATCCAGCTTGGGGACAGAGTGAGATTCTGTCTCAAAAAAGGAAAAAAAAAAAAAAAAAAAAAAAAGAATGACGTTTCCCCCCAAGTTTGTCATCTCATCTTAGGAAACAGCTTAAAGTTTAATAAAGTTTACATATGCCATTTGGAAACACAAGCTTATAAACTACTGTTTCACTGTGACAGTGCCCTTGAGAAAACATGTTATCCAGAGGTAATTCTGCTATATACCCAGATTCTTTCTGTATTTCTAAAAAAGAATCAATATTAGATCTGTATAGTAAATTACACACTTTTACAGAAAATAACAAAATACCCAAGTGTCTCACCAAATTTTCAAAAAAGAGAAAAAGTCTAAGCTTCCAGATGAAAGTTTCCACAGCTTTCCCCAAATTTAGTACCATCATGAAAAAGAAATTCTTCACTGAAGGCACATGACTGGAAAACTAATTTCCATGGCATCAAATTAATTTCCTCCTTTGGAGATAAAACCATTAGATCATTTCCAAAGCATTAACATAACCAAGAAAAAAAAAAAAAGACCATTACCAGCATTTTAAAAGGAGTAAGAGAATGAAGTAAACAAAAAGGGGAAAGATGAAGCTTCAAAAGTGCTTTTTTCTCCTAATTTCTTGAACCTAATGTTTTTCCTACAAAAATTGCCTTCAATTTTCCCTAAGTCTAAAGACTGCTTTAAGTAGCCTAAGACCAAGAACAGGAGAATGAAAACAAAGACGGTTTTGGCTTTCCAAGTGGTACTGGAATTGCAGCTGCTACTCTAGGGGTATTTTCTAATGGTCAGCTCTTCAAACTCCAGTGAGTCTCACAAATAGGGTGCACCAGCCAATACAAGTATCCAGTATCTATAATGCAAATTGTAGATTTCTGATGGTTTTATCTCCAAAGGAGGAAATTAAATTGATGCCATGGAAATTAGTTTTCCAGTCATATGCCTTAAATGAGTGAAGAATTTTGTTCTATTGTTTTTTAAAAAATGTTTAATTATTTTACCTCTATGTGGCTGACAAGTGCTGACAATAAACTACTAATAAGTATGTGAAGAAAAGAGGCTCATCTTGAGTAGTTATGATTAAGGAAAAGGAATAGTGTGTAGCATTGCCTTACTGGTAAAATTTAAGTTGATTTAGTAGCAAATGGAAGTTCTAGTGAACCATATAGATTTCAGAAGCAGGAGTAAAAGATTAGAAGATGTACCATTTTAATCTTCTCTAGTCTTTGTCTTAATTTTTAGAAATGTAAGTAGACTGAATAGAGGAAAACCAACACAGAGTTGGCCAACAGTAAGTTTATTACTGTGAACTTATTATTATTATTTAATAATATGTGATTAATAATAAAATCCTCCACTAATTCCTTGCTGCCTACAGAAGAAAATCTAAGCTATGCAGCACGGCATTCAAGACCCTTTGTGGTAAGTTCTCTATCTCTTCAGTCATATCACTTTTTCTCTGCTATATAATACCAAGTTTTCTAGCCATTCTAAAATATTCACAGGTCTCTGGAATACAAAACCTTCCTTACACCTAGAAAGCTCTTCCTACTCTAGTCCATCTGTAAAAGCCCTATTCATTCTTTAAGACTCAGATCAATAACTGCCTTCTTGGTCCGTATTTTCCTCCCTCTTCATCAAGAAAAGTTGAATAGTTATTCCTCTATTTTCCTATTCTTATAGAACTCTGTCCTTGTAAAATTCTTATACTGATATTAATATCTAACATGTTGCCTTTTTGCTTGTTTGCTTCTCTGTTTCCCCTGCCTTTCCTTAAAGGCAGAGTTTTTACCTTATCCATTGCTGAAATAGTCCTTAAAATACTATGAAATGCATAGCAGCCAGTTTGGCACATTAATTGACAGAAAAGAGTGACTTTTACTACTTTGTTAACCAAATTTCCAGTTTCTAAACTGGTAAGCTCAAGATGCTATGCCTCAAGGAATTTGAGAGAATATTTAATGGTAAGATTCAGGACCCAACAGTAAGAATTCTACCCAGGACACCTGATCTTCATTGAAAAGGATTCTAAACCAACTTCAGTCCTCACAACAAGGAAGTACTATTTCAGAAAGTCCCTAGATTCTCAGATGCACTGGCAAGCACCATACACTGAAGAAATAGAAGAAGAAAGATTTTAGTCACTTGCTCACTCATCCACTTGAAGTAATAAAAATCAATCACTGCATGTTTATTGTTCTATAATAAAGCAAATGTTAGAAATAAAAGTTGGAGGCCAGGCATGGTGGCTCACGCCTGTAAGCCCAGCACTTTAGGAGGCCAAGGCAGGCGGATCACGAGGTCAAGAGATTGAGACCACCCTGGCCAACATGGTGAAACCCCATCTCTACTAAAAATACAAAAAATTAGCTGGGCATGGTGGTGCGTGCCTGTAGTCCCAGCTACTCAGCAGGCTGAGGCAGAAGGATGGCTTGAACCCGGAAGGCGGAGGTGGCAGTGAGCCAAGGTCACGCCACTGCACTCCAGCCTGGTGACAGAACAAGACTCCGTTTCAAAACACAAACAACAAAACTAAATTAATAAAAGTTAGAAATGTTAAACAAACTAAATTGTTACATTGACAAACTAATCCAGATGGCACCTTTATTCAGGACATGGATATTTCCGAAATGAAAACTAACAAAAGAAGAAAACTGAATTAAAATGTTATAAATATGAACTGAATAAATGCTATGACAGAACCACAGCTATTCATGGGCATGATTTATTAAAGCTTGTTTAAGTATTATGCAGTTGTCTATGTATCATTTTGTAAAGAGGAGAAAAGTTAAGGAGAAAGGAATTGTAGAATGCTAACAGTAAGAGGACAGACACTGAGGAATGGTTCATGGTATGAGTGAGATTATCAGAGACTTTCTATAATGGAATTTGAAATGCAGGGAGCACCTTTGGTATATAGTAGTAGAGGACTGACACTAAGGGCATTCTTCTGCTACCTCTGCCAGCAGATAGATGAGTGGCTCTTGAGAATACATACCAAATTAATTCTCCAGCTGTTCGCTTGCATATAAGCAGCTGCTGCTGTTACTGCCTAACACTTATGGCGTCTGTCAGCACCTCTAATCTCTGCTATAGCAGAGAAACCACTCACCTAAGGCCTCTGCTGTACTTCCAAAGAAAGAGTCTCTCAAGTAGGAACTGGGTGGCACTAGACTGCCAGCTGTGAGCCTCAGAGCTCCTGGCTGCCTGTTGCTGGGTCTATCAGCTGCTGAGCCTTTCTCATCAAAAAAAAAAAAAAAAAAAAAAAAAAAAAAAAAAAAAATGAGCTTAACAAAATACCCTGCACAGAAATTTTCTGAAATTATGATAGCACTCAGTGGAAAACAGGGTTTAATCTACAGAAATACACTTCACAGATGTTTTAGGAACAGAACCTAGAGAAAATGGATATCAAAATTCAATAAAAGAATTTGTCAGGAACTTCAAGGTAACGACTCTATGTGTTTTTACATGACATGACATATTTTTTGCCAACTATGAAACATTAAGAAGGTTTAAAAAAAATTTTTAAGCCATTTAAACACTTTGAATTAAGGTAAGATTTCTCAATATACTTTTTCAGATTTCTGTACTGAGTCACCCTCTCGAGTGTTTGAAAGTCTTTTCTTCCTCATTAAGCAAAAACACAGTAACACAGTGTTATCGTGGCTTTGTAATCTTAAGTTTTAAAGACAGGCAAATGTACTAGCTAAATATGCCAAATTAACTTATTGAGATCATTTGAAACAACATTTTGGATCCAACTCTTTTTAAAATACACTTAAGTCTTTCTTATATTAAAATCAAGCGTATTTATCAATTACTTAATGTTTATTAATAATAACTAAAATTATTTGTTGTTAGTATAATATTAGAAATAGCTTTGAAAAAGTACCTTGATCTTTGTGTTTCTAAGATTTGTCCTAGTCCATTTATGGATCTGAAATAAATAATAAATGAGGAAGACAAAGTTTAAAAGTAAAAATTAACTTTTTAAAAAAGTATACAAAGTACGTTATTTCTAAAACAGAAATAAGCATACATATACAAATACATCTGCAAACAGAAAAAAATTAAAAACAGAAAAATAAAACTTACTTTTAAAAATAATTTATTATTTTCCTTTAAACCATAAATCATGTATATTCCACTCATCCATCAAGAAAACATATATGCAAAAATCCACACAACTGCCCACTTAAGGGCTACTTTGTGATTAATAAAAAGACGCTTCACTTTAGAAAAAAAAATCATTCATAAGTAGTTATTTCAGAGTTCTTAAAAATTAGTAGACACTGAAAATTCTCATAGTGGCCACTTTCTTCCTCAGGCATACCTGGTAGAAATGGTTATATATACATTAAAAATAAAAAACTAGTTAGAAGTAGCTTTGCCCCCAGCCTGCTCTTGGTATTCACAGTAATTCTAAGTCACACATCCCAGGTTCCTCTATAGAACAACCTCTTCAGTTCCCTAACTAGGCTCTCTACTCCTTATGCCTGTTCTCCCTCTTTCGATACTATAGAATATCGGTCTTTTTGTATGGCAACAAAATGTACCTGTTAAAATCTTTTCAACATATGGTACACCTATCTATTTATCTTTTTCATTGTCTATCATCAATCATCAATTCTCTATCATCAATTCATTGTCTTTAGGGTTACTTACCCAAGATACTTGCTACTTGTTCAAGCTTGTTCTCATGAGTAAGGCTTCCCAAATACAAAGGTTCTGAGGCAAGTCTCTTCACTATTTTACAAAACTCTTACTCTTCTTATTTGAATATACTCTATAGACTGATAGCTATTTCCTCTCAAATAAGTTTGCTTTTTTCAACTCCTCAAATATGATTCTGAATCAGTCACAAGTCTGATATAAAGGGATTACAAGTAAAAGCCAAACGAGTATGTAATTTATTAAACTGCTTCCTCCAAATTCATTTCTAGTACTATTAACAAGCTGGCTAATAGTCGATATTGTCAGTGTCAGAGATTTAGCTAGTCTATATAAGGATATAAAAGCCAAGTAATAATCATCATTCCTTTTATGCCAAAAACGTTTGCTAAGTAGACTGGGTTCTTAGCAATCACAATGGTGCACAAGATTTTTGAAAAGAGAAACAAGATTAGAAGACCAGTGTCAAAAAATGTAAAGGCAATCTTCATCACTTTCACCTTTCCAAAAATCAGTTTTTTCAAAATTTCATAAGTTTTCAAAAATATCATCCATCTTTTTTTCTTCCCGTTTTTAGTTATTATACCTTGAACTCACTATGTAAGCTAAGAAAAAAAAACCTACATAATAATAGCTAACAGAGCACTTACTATGTGTCAGCACTGTGAAAAGTTTACTAACATAGTCTCATGTAGTACTGAAAGCAAACTTAGGAGATAAGCATTACTCCTTTTACACAGGAGGCTTTAAAAGGGTAAATAGGTTCCCTAAGAAGACAATGAGAAACAGACTAAGCAAATTCCAAGGTCCCTGATCTTCAACACCATGCAACAATACCTACCCTCCGCATGGAGACATTATACTTTTTTTTAATAGTAAAGTTCAAGGACAATTGCTATTAAAATAAGACTAAATATGTGGAAAAAATATGAATTTCTTTCTTTAATTGCTAATCCATCTTTCATTTATTTATTTTTAAGTATTTGGTTATGTTTACTATATTTTTTTATTGCACTTTAGGTTCTACAATCATTAATCATTGCAAATAATCTCCTAATAAGCCTTACCTTTATTGATTCAATTTATAATATATACTATATGAACTGAGATGACAGATTTAAACTCTGATGACAGAACTTATAAATACTAAGAATAGTAATTTGAGTCATCATGCTCAAAACATTGTATACATGAAAGATAACCAATAATAATAGCTACCAAATGTCTCTCTGTATAGAGCTTTTATTAGCTCAGGTCTTACAAAATAATTCAAAAAGTCTCTGAACTATAAATTCATTTGAAAAATCCATCTTTGTTTTCAAAAGGAATGAGAGTCTCCAGAACAGTAAGCAAAATGACTGTTAACATATATTTGAGCATCATTCATATTATTCTGATTGTCCTATGCTGATCAGCCTTGGCTATGGACAAAGAAGATATTAAAGCAAGCTGGAAGACAAGGCTTGGTTTCCAGTTAAGGAAGATGATGTCAATGAGAGTTCAGGGAAAAGTGAGACCCATTGAGTCAGGAAAGACTTTACATAGGAGTTGGGGAGACAGAGATAGAATACGCTCCATAGAATAAATTGTTTTTTAAAAGAAACAACAAAAAAAAAAACAAAACAAGAAAGATTTCAGGGATTGGCTGAGTGAGAATGTATTACGAGTAAAGACAGGAACTGGCAGGATGCATCCATGGGAAAGGGAATTAACCATCCTGGGTAGAGTTAAGAAAGACTGATATTAGGAAAGAGTCAAAGAGAAGACAGGAAAAGGATGGAGTGAGAGGACCCTGAAAATCAGTATATTAACTGTGAAATATATTCTGCAAGCTCTGGGGACTAACTTTATGTACTGCTATTTATATAACAGTCAATTAGCCAACAACAATATATGTGATTCCCTAATGGTTCTTGAAGCAGGTCAACCTTAAACCTTAAGTTTCTATAGGGCAACTGTCATGGTAAAAAATATTCTGAGTTGTACAATATGGATCTGTAGGCACTTAACACACTTATCAGTTTGTACCTAATTGTTGCTCTTAACTTCTTTACATCTTCTTCCGGAACCAAGTCTGTTTTATTGATGAGAATTATATCTGCCAAAGCAACTTGCCTAAAATAGCAAACAAGAGGAAATGTTAAGAAATTTTAAATAGACATGCCTCATGCAGATTAATTCATCAAAAGAGAAATGTTAACAAATTAAAAATAAAAACACTTTATGCAGATCAACCTATCAGTTAAGAATTATATAGCTGCTCTATAGTGATTCAGTTTACTACTAATCCACTAATTTTTCAATGTGAATGAATTGTATTCATCACTATACAAGTTCAGATTTCATATTACCCATTCAAAAAGTATTTTCTAAGTTCTCTTACTTGCTATTCTTGTGCTAGAAAGATAAGTCTCAAAAAGTTTACAATCAAAAGAATGATTTTCAACTCATAATTTTCTTTATAAAAAAAAGCATAAAAAAGAGAAAAATTTTTTTTTAAAAAGCACAAAATTCAAACATCCAATATGGTAAAAATAAGAAGTTTATGTACTAAAATATTTCTTCTAATATTTACCATATTTTCAAAGAAATAAAATAAGTTCATTTAATACTAAAAACTATATTAAACAGGTTTTTAAAAACTATACTTCAGAGCTGGGCATGGTACAACACACCTGTAGTCCTAGCTACTTAGGAAGCTAAGGAGGGAGGACACCTTAATTAAAGGAGTTCAAGTCCAACCTGGGCAACAAAGCAACACTCTACTTCTTAAAAAAAAAATAAGGTATACTTCAGAAGACATATCAGGATATTACACAAATGTCTTCCTTACCACTATAAATACACTGTATATTATCTCTGTAAAGAACCCATGCTAACTGCTAGATAACAAAGTAGATGATAATAATCAGAAGCTCTATCTTCTATTAACAGGATAGTAAAACTGGAAATTCTTTCAATTTTCCTCAATTCTTCAGGGTCTTACGCTATATCTTAGAGAATACAACTAAATTCTCAAAACTAAATTAACTTTAGTTCACTGAAAAAGCAGGTTTCAACAGTATGTACATAACCATTCAATTTTGCTATTTTCTATTACACTTATTCATATTTTTTATAACTGTATTTTCATAAGGAAAAAAGTCACAAAAATATTTAAGTTCATTCTGATTTGAATCCTATACCAAATGCAGTGTTTAAGGAGCATTACACAACAACAGAGTACCATACTCAAAAATGATTGGGAATAAATTGCTTATTTGTAGTCTTTAGCAAATCCCAGAGTGTCTCACTTGCAAACCCAGCAGCATATTTAGTGACTGTCATCTATCTTACTTTTATCTTATTAGTAAGAATATGCTTAGGGCAGGCAAACTAAATATTTCTAAGTCTAAAGACAAATAAATTAGAAACATAAAAGTGTTTAAACAAAAAATGTTTTAATGCCAAATCAAAACTGTTTTCATATTTTTTCCTCTATTTTTCTGAATAACAATATATACTGAAATCAATGAACTACTATTAAATGCAGTGAGACACCTATCTATTTTTTATAATCTTCAATCCCAAAGAAATTGCCTAACAAGAAAATATTTGTAAATGTTAATATTTCCCAAGTTCCTCAAAATTACAGAACTTCCATGTCCAGCATTTACTTTATGCTGCAACAAAAATGACTTCAAGTAAAAGTTAACAGATCATAACAAATAGACAGCAATAATTCAACTATGAGAAAAAAGAAAATAAATTTTCCTTGACTATGTTTTAAAATTTCTTAATTTGCTTTTGGTTTTCATCTTAGTGATTTTTCTCTTTCCAGTTAGCCAGCAATCAATATATACTTCAAATATGAATACCTAGTAGCTTCATTGATAAGGCCATCAGGTTTTTCTTCTGTTAAATGCTAAACAAAAAAAAAGTTTGAATAAAGTTACTATAATACAATACAAAATCAAACGTTAACACAAAGGATTTTACTTTAGTGACATCTTCTTGCATCTAATAAAAACTTCAACTACTGTTACTCAAGTACACAAATTCAGAACTAACTTTTCTATCTGAAAGCATTTTTCTTCCCCACCTGCAATTTTTTTCTACAGTGAACCTGTAGGGTTTTATGGGAGGAGGAAGAGGGCTTAGGATTTCATATTCTTTTCTTTTTTTTTTTGAGACGGAGTTTCGCTCTTGTTACCCAGGCTGGAGTGCAATGGCGCAATCTCGGCTCACCGCAACCTCCGCCTCCTGGGTTCAGGCAATTCTCCTGCCTCAGCCTCCTGAGTAGCTGGGATTACAGGCACACGCCACCATGCCCAGCTAATTTTTTGTATTTTTAGTAGAGACGGGGTTTCACCATGTTGACCAGGATGGTCTCGATCTCTCGACCTCGTGATCCACCCGCCTCGGCCTCCCAAAGTGCTGGGATTACAGGCTTGAGCCACCGCGCCCAGCAGGATTTCATATTCTTGAACTTTTCTTTCACTTAAAAGGAAAACACCTTTGATTTACATAATGCCATAAAAACATAGAATATTACAGTTCAGATTTTAGGCATTTTCCTTCTTACAAAAACTGTTCTTGTTCTAAATACTCATTATTACTTATTTTAAAAAAGGATAACCACTGAAATATATTTTCTTAGAATCTAATATACTTCCCTACTCCCCAGACCACAATCATGCACCATGTGAACTCAGTTCTAGGCCCTTCAAACACCCATGAAACAAAAAAGTGGTGGGAGGGCTAATTCAGCCCTGATTCTAGCCCAAAAGCTGCTTATCATTTTGAAACCCATACTTGCTAATCTAGCCTCTCAGTGAAACTGTTTATTTTACTGACCTCTCCAGAGTCAGGCTAGTTCCAAAACAATATTTTGACACTGACTTAGAGCCCATGTGGTAGTTTTCATCTCTCTGGAGGCAAGGTTTTTTTTGTTTTTTGTTTTTTTTTCCCCATAATCCTATTTACATCCCTAAAGTTATCAATGCCACACCACAAGCTTCTTCTCTAAAATTACATTTTTCACCCTCATTACCTCAAACCTCAATAGAGGTTTCCTGTCACAATAAAAAGCTGCCTACTGAGGTTAAGAGGCAACTGGATTGTAGTAATACTCTTCATATTTGAAGTCAATTTTATAAATTACTAAATCTTTGAATTTAACTTTATAAATTATTATATACATTTTCTCATTTAGCTTTCATAACAATTATGGGAAGTGGCTATTTTCATTTATAAAAGAAGAAACTAAATCTAACACCCTCATCATCACAGGATACTAAATTTTATATACAATCACAGGGGCTATTTTTTTAAATTGAAAACACTAATACAAGTAAAATGAACACAATTTTAAAGTCTTTGTGAAACCTTTTATGTCACGTAAAATCAGTCTCCATACAGTGTTACACAAATGTTAATAATCATATATCAGAGTCAAGCCAGTATAGGGAGATGATCATTAGGAGTATCTGAATAGTTTGGAACCTAACAGCAAGCAAGTAATAATTTAATATGCTTGGTTAGGTCTGCAGAGGAAACATTTTTTCCTACTAAAAGTTTAGCACATTCTATTTTGAGGAAAACAAAACTGAAATAAAATCATGGCAATGATACTTCTACTTCAGGCACAATCTAGTTCAATTCAACTACAAACCCACTCTACAATTATGGAAGTCACAGAACTTGGAAATTATCGTATCAAAAATCATTTCATGCCAAAAGACCATGTTTAATATTTTTTTCCATAATTCATCTTGGCCTGAGGTATAACAAGTCCTATAATTATATACTCTGTCTCTAGAAAATAAGTCTGTTAACAGACCTTAGAATAGTGCCTGACACACAGGCTCAACAAATATTTGTTGAATGAATTGTAGTTAACACATCCTACTTGTTGACAGGGATACATAAAAGATGTTATATGAAAAATGCCATATAACATGCAACAACAAATCTCTTCCCATTAAGCAGTAAATCTACTTAACGATAATATATTTTTCACAAGGCATCTGCCTCTGAATGATCCCATATTACTGAAAATTCTTTGTAAATTGAAATTTTTCAAGATACTGTGTTATTGACCTTATGGAAGCTTTTTTTTACATATGAATTTGGGGCTATTTGGCTATGAGTTTGTGAGGCATAAAAATGATGTGACAGAAGAACTACAGATTTGTTTCTGCATTTTCATACCTAAGTGTAACTAATAAAATGGTAGTTTCACACAGTAATGTGTAATGTTTTAAATGCATTTACTTCTCCAAAGTATTAGAATTCTTCACTCAAAACTAACAGTGATAGATCAACATTTTACTACCTCCAGGCAGTCAGAAAGTATCAAACATAAAAATAAATAAAAATCACCCCAAAAGAAAACCTGTCAATATTTACAACTCTATTAAAATTCTATGTAATCATGTACAATTATAGCAGAAGAGATAAATGTCCTGTTATACGCACATAGGAAAGCTAAACATTTAAAAAAATAAGTTTTTTTTAATGTTAGCAAACTAACATTTATTGTCCTTAGACATCAGCCCTACATTTCCCTCATGTGACTTACTACCTTCCCAAGTCAAACTCTGCAAAAAGTTTAAAACCAATGTCTTCTATTCAAAAGAACATTCTCCAATAATACATTATATACCATTAGCTCATTAAGTCAGATGACTTTCATTTATAAAATAAAACAAAATGGAAATTTCTAACTGTATAAATGAAGGAAAATTTTTGTAAAATTTTTAAAAAATATTTTATATTACATAGATGTCCAAAGTACTTCCTAACTCTGCTTAAGAACTGTGGTTTTTGCTTATATATAAAAAAATAATAATAATAATTTTGGTACTAATTAATCCAACATATTCAAAAGGCTAAGGTTCAAAACACCAATTTAACTCATCACAAAAAACAAAGGAGAAAAAGGGGAGTGATGTGAGATGTTGGTCACAGATTACAAAGTTTCAGTTATGCAGGATGCATAAGTCATGGAGAGCTAATTACAATACCATGACTATAGTTAATTCTGTCTTATACTTGAAATCTGTTAAGAGATAGATCTTAATTGTTCTTACCACTCTCTCCCAAAAAATTGGTAACAATGTGAGGTGAGAGATAGGTTAACTAGCTTGATTGTTTTATAATGGAATTCACACATTGTATACCTTAAATATATTATAATTTTTGCTTGTCAATTATACCTCAGTAATGCTGGTGGTTAGGGAGAGAAACAAAGGAACTCTCTGAAATAACACCACTGTAGGCATAACTTCATGAAGGGCTATAAGGTATCCTTTTCCGCAAAAATAAAGAAAGAAGCTGGGCCAGTAAGAGAGAAAGAAAGAAAAGAAAAAACTATCTTAAAACATTGGCTATGAAAGAACACTGCTGTTGACCAGAGTGGAAATAAATCTAGTGTCAAAGATGTCTGATGACATTTTTTAAACACAGCAGCAGGAACTATTTCTTTCAGATGGATTGGTTACAGACCTAACAATATTTTAGTTTTTTTAAAATTATTGCATAATGTCAGTCTATTTATTGTTCTGGTCTTTTCCAAGCCAAACTGTTTTCTGACTGAATTGTTTCAACAGATTGTGTAATATAACAGAGAAATCAAGAAGAAACCTCTCACTTGACCTTTTCTGGGTAACTTCATTCATTGCTTCTATTGCATTAAATGCTGTCACATTTGTAGAACTGAAAAGAACAATGTCAGTACCCTAGGTGTCAAGTCCTGAGAATAGAGAGCTGTCATTTTAAGTTGTCCAATTCTTTGCCTATGATTAAAAAATGAATATTTCAGATCAATGGGTGACAATCCCATTAGAGTGATACCCCATGATATCAATTACCACTTCAGTTTCAATTTGGCTGGCTGGCCACAGGGTACCATTTCTCAGCTTTACTTGTGATGGGCTGGCTCTGTGAAGCATGACACCCTTAAATTGCTGCCCATTATCCAAGTGTCATTACTTGTACTGCCTCAGAATTCTCTGAATCACAAGCAGCTACTGAGGTCAGGCTTTGCAACCAGAGGAATTGAACAAGTTGGCAAATTCTTTATATCAAGGCAAAGTTATTTATCTGGCATCCGACTTAGAAAATCCAAAGTTTCCATTATCCTGACAATGTGTCAGTTTTGTGTAGGTATATTGATTTAATAATTTAAGAGGTTTTATCAAGGTGGCAGAAGGTTAAACGTTTACTGTGTTTGCATTATTCAGAATGTTGCTTTGTTTTTTTTCGCCTCTATCATGCTGATAATAGATTCTACTTAACTCTTTTCCATAACTATACATATAAAATTATTTCTATAATCATAAAATTTATAAAGTTTGAATTTCAGTATGGCATTTTAAGTCTATCAAAAACAAAAACCCAAAATGTCTTAGCAGTTATCTGTCACATATCAAATTTTATAATTAATTTATGGAGATGGATTTAAACATGCCTATAATAAACATTGAAAATAAATAACTTGGGTCTTTTTTTGCTACCTCAATAAGCATTTTGCAAGAAATATTGTTTCCAACAGCTGTCAGAATTTTTCTGAGTGAAAGTGTAATACTATATTTGGGATCATTCTTTTATTCTTAAATTATATTCATAAATTCATAAATTGAGATTTTTTAAACTCTAAAAAAGGAATTCTCTTCCGAACTTTTCAAATTAGGGCACTCTATCCACGATGGAGAGAAGGCCCAGTGAAGAGGTACTGGTAGCTATTTGACAAGCCTGACATATCTCCTTAGAGTGTAATTTCACCAAGGAAAAAAAAAAAGCAAACTTAAAAATTAAAAAGTTCAGGCTGGTCATGGTGGCTGACACCTGTAATCCCAGCACTTTGGGAGGCCAAGGCAGGTGGATCACCTGAAGTCAGGAGTTCATGACCAGGCCGGCCAACATGGTGAAATCCCATCTCTCTTAAAAATACAAAATTAGCTGGGCGTGGTGGTGTACACCTGTAATCCCAGTTACTCAGGAGGCTGAGACAGGGGAATCACTTAAACCTGGGAAATGGAGGTTGCAGTGAGCCAAGATGGTGCCACTGGACACCAGCCTGGGAGACAGAGTGAGACTGTCTCAAAAAAAAAAAAAAAAAAAAATTAACAAGTTCAGATATATTATGAGGTTGGATACAAAACTGACACAAATTTTTAAACACTGAATTAAAATTTCTAAGAAATTACTGCTTTGGGCCCCATCTATATGCTTAGACTGGGACTGGGTCAGTGGGTGGAATAATTTCATCCTTTTCTGCCTTTACTGAAATCTCACTTGGGAAGTTGAGAAATATCATTTTACTTTATGTAACAATATACTTTTAAAGTTCTTACTAAATGCATTTTATAAATTAAACCTCACTTAAATGTATTTAAAGACCTTTGAAGCTAACAAAAACATTCATAGCAGGATGTCTGTTACACTTGATCTTAGCCAAAAGACCAAGAAGCAATGCAAGATGCCTTTTAATGGAGAGATTCTCCTTACCAATCCTATGTACATATCCTGATTTTCTTCAATATGTATTTTTTTAGTTTTAAGTTCCAGAGTACATGTCCAGAATGTGCAGGTTTGTTACAGAGGTAAACGTCTGCCACGGTGGTTTGCTGCACCTAAATATTGAAGACCCATCACCTAGGTCTTCAATATTTTTTAAAAGCTCATTTCCAATGTGTGTTTAATAGCAACTTAACAAGAAAAATAAGATCTCAGATGCTTTATTAAGCTCAGTTTCCTCTACAAAACAGAAAGACTTAACAATATTGGGGTTGAATCCTAGTGAAGAGTTAGACATACCAAAATTTAACCTGACCGCATGTGCTTATTACAAATTGTAATTCTAAATTTTATCACCAAATCAAACTCAGAGTAATAGAAAAGAAATATTTAACACAAATAATTAAAACACAAATTTTATCTATTGTTCAGGATACTTTTTTGAAAAAGGTTTTTGTTAAAAAAAATTACAGATACAAACATAAAGAAAATTATACAATCAACCCCATATTCCCAGCTCTCAACAGCCCCTCATAGCAATCTTTCGACTCACTTTTAATCCATATTTTGAATCCACAATAGTTATGATACCTACAAAGGAAAAAACATTTTAATCACCTTTTTAAAAAAGAGTGTTTATTAATATTATGCAACCATACTTGAGAATGAAAATTAAAACTAATCTATTTCAGTTCACAAATGCTACCCAATAAAAGTACTATTTTTTTCTCTTGCCAGTGCTGCCATTTAATTAAATTCCAGTAATAAGTCAATGCATTTCAAATATATGCTGAGTAACTAGCACTATTTTAAGGCACTAGAGAAGACATAAAATAAATAAAATTTTAAAATTAAATAAATAAGAAAATAAGATTTGGCACTTAAAAGTTTACCATCCAAAATATAAGTCAAATTTCATAACATAGTCAAATGTGACAAATACACAACACAGGTTATTTCTAGTTTATTTTCACATAATCAAAATCAAGACTTTTCTTAACATTTAAATTATTGCCTAAAGAATGAGACATCTTAGGATATCTTATTCCTGACATCTCTCACCATATCCAACTCATAAAAATGTTTTCCTAACAATGCCTAAGTTTCCAAGCTACCAATTCATTTAGTAATCTCTGAATATAGCTGATAACAACAGAATGAGTTTATGCCTAAAGAATTCAACCAGTTATATGCCACATATATTAGAGCTCAATGATGGGACCCAGCTTAGTAATTCCAAAATTTCTTAATGATTCTTAAAATTCTTAATGATTCTTACTTTTGAAAAATAAAAAGATTGGTTTTTTAAAAGGCGAAAAATGCAAAGAGGGACGGAGAAAACACAGCTGCTTAACTAAGGAAGTTTCTAACATACTTTAAAAGAAGGCATATCATGTATATACGTTTATAAAGTATACTGCCCAAAAGTGTTAAGGTAAATAAAGTAAGGGAGGAGTGTTTAATTCTTATATTAAATGAAAAATGAGAGCAAAAATATGATCCTCATATTGCCTGGCGGATTAAAAGGCTCTAACATTATATTAAGTGCATAAATCAAACAACAGAGGAAACAGAAAATTTACATAGCTTTTTTTTTTTTTTTAAGGAAAACCTTAGTGGAATCACTAAATTGGGAGTTGAGTGATATCCAGTTCCACCACTGTCTGGGGTTTTTCAATCTACAAGAACAAAGACTTCATCATTAAACTAAAGTCTAAAAAGAACAATGCAAGGAATTAAAATTATAATATGAATGAATAAAAATAAGCGTAACCATAAATATTTTACTTAAAAACAAAAGAGGCTGGGTGCAATGGCTCATGCCTGTAATCCTAACACTTTGGAGGGCCAAGGCTGATGGATTGCCTGAGGTCAGGGGTTCGAGACCAGCCAGGCCAACACAGGGAAATCCTGTCTCTACAAAAAATACAAAAATTAGCTGGGAATGATGGTGTAAGCCTGTAGTCCCAGCTACTTGGGAGGCTGAGGCAGGAGAATTGCTTGAACCTGGGAGGCAGAAGTTGCACTGAGCTGAGATCACATCACTGCACTCCAGCCTGGGTGACAGAGCAAGACTTTGTCTCAAAAAAAAAAAGAGAGAAAATTATTTTTAACTTACCATCAAGATAAATATCACTCCCTAATTCAGCATCAACCCAAAACATAGAAGCCACTGCACCTGAAAATATACAACATATATCAAATAAAAATATTTCTTCACACTGAGAAACATGATTCTATCCATGCTTTAATTTGCCCTGATGAAATTAACAGGTAAACACATATATATCTTCTTATGGGAATTATAGTGATAGAACTTTTTACTATTTATAGTAAAAGAGAATTATAGTGATAGAACCTTTTACTATTCTAGTAAAAGGGAATTATAGTGATAGAACCTTTTACTATTTATATCCATCCCATTTCTATCCTTCTTGTTATTTCCTTTAACAAAGACCAACTCTTACCACATGCAAACAAAACATCATTCTTCTACCAATGCCATAATAATTTAATAACAGATATTATCAAACAATTTGAGCAGTATGGCTTTATGCACATCAGACTTATTTTTATTTTCTCATCTCCTTAATATGATAATCATTCAGGTCATAAATAGTGAATTATCACTCTAAAGGAAAAGGAAAACAAAACCGCAATAATTCCAAAATCACTTGTCAAAAAAAAAATTTACTTGGAATATGTGTAGAACTAGAAATAAAATTATATACTCCATGGCATCACTAATTATTTCCCACACTATTTAGTACTGTATAAAACCTGGGTCTGAGGAAAAATTATGCCTAAATAATAAATTAAAACTTGTTTTTGACAGAAACTGGTTCAGTATCAAACCACATACCCTGATTAGTATGCCACACACAAGAAAAAGAAAACTGACAGCAAGGAAAGTATTTGATTTTTCAAAGCATCACAGGCCCAGTTAGTGACAGGGCTGTCTAAAAGAATCAGCGTAGGAGAAAAACAGGGATAACCAAATTCATTCCAGTGTCTAAAGCTGTCCACCTATTCTGACAAGATGTGGTCCCCCAAGCATCAACTCTGTGTCAACGATGAAATACCTGTCAGCTGTTTACGGTGATTACTCATGCAAGATATAGCAAGGGCCACAAGATCTAATGGTTTCCTGATATCTATTGATTTTTTTCCCAAAAACTTAATAGTTTTCCAATTTGACTGAAATAGGATTTGTGAGTAACAGGGGCTGAATCAATGTCCGTCCTTTTCAAGAAAATTACTTTATCATGACAATTATTTAGCTTAGAACTGGAGAGTGTCAGTCTCCAAAACGGGAAACAACTGAATTGCCAATAAGAATTTTGTTCACTTTCTTGGCTAAAACATGATTTTAATTAATGAGGGGGAAAATTAAATCTACTGTATCACTACTCCACACAACGTCATTTTAAAAAGCATTAATTTTTTCACTCAGTAAAATATCTAACATACATAAATCATTTTGTAATTTTAAAAAATTCATTGATTTTTATTCCAGTAAATAGCTTATAAATCCTACTGTTAATATTTGCCTCAAGTTGAAATGTAAGAGAATATTAAAGCTTTATTCTAAAACTGGTGTTTATCTTTGATATAATACTTGCCAGACTATATGAGAAAGAAAGATCTATTTAAAATTTGGATGTAGGCATTTAGGAGGAAGAGTAAAGATGAGTGAACAAAGTTAATCAGTCATTCTCAAACCAGGTGCTTTTCTCCCTGGGCAATATTTGGCAATGTCTGAATATATTTTGGTTGTCTCAACCAGGGGAATGCTACTGGCATCTAGTATGTAGAAGTCAGGGATGTTGTTAAATATCCTACAATGCACAGGGCAACCCCCTCACAACAAATAATTATCTAACCCAAATGTTATTTGTGCTGACATTGAGAAAACCTGAGCTAGATTATAGAATCTCCCTTCTTCAAAACCTAATAAAACAAAAAATGAAAATAAAAATAAAACAAGCCAAAATTTTATTAACAGCAACCAAATATAAAAGGGCCTGTCATAAATTTTGAAGACTGACAGTCTAAATAAGAAACAAAGTTCTATGTGATTTATGGTCATTCCCAACTCTACCCCTACCTCCAATAAGAGGCTGTAGGGAAACAGTTTGCAAAATCCTAAACACTTATCACAAATACCTTCCAAAATGGCAAAAAGTAGCTGAGGGATGAATAAGCAATACAGGGAAAAGTCAACAAAGAAATTTCAAGAGTAAGTTTTAACCATCTCCATGCTTTGGGAAGGAGAAGGTCAGGTCATATTCTAGGGCTCAGAACAATGAGAAATGAGAGGTCTGAGGCCGAATAATGTTCCCACACAAGCCACAGGATTTTTATTCATAAGCAATTGGGCAGATCCAAGGGGGACATACTTGGTACTTCAAGAGAGCAGAGCCCAAAAGCCAAATAGCCCATCTGGCTCTCTGAATCACCACTTTTCCCTTCTCTTTCCCTCCACTCCAACAACATACAGATTTCAAACTAGGGCTCAGGAGAAAAACAAATTTGGGTAAGAAGAGTAGAGTATTAAAAATACTTTCCATCAGTACCACATGTAAGTTCTCTGAGCCTCCCATATCAAGAAGAAACATGTATACGCATGTATTACAGCCTGACAAAAAGAAACACACACAGGGAATAAAAGGCAAGAAAGAACAAAAAAGTGAAGAAATGAACAGGGCACACAAGTGGCAAAGAACCCATTCTGGAAGGATACATAATTAAAAAAAAAAAAAAAAACTAAAGAAAATTCTCAACAACTTCATCTTAATAAAGAACTTAAAAACAATACAACCCTATAAAAACAAGCTCAAAAGCAAGAAGAAACAGAGTAAGATGAAAATACAGTTTGCAGGCCGGGTGCGGTGGCTCACGCCTGTAATCCCAGCACTTTGGGAGGCCAAGGCGGGTGGATCACGAGGTCCAGAGATAGAGACCATCCTGGTCAACATGGCGAAATCCCGTCTCTACTAAAAATACAAAAAATTAGCTGGGCATGGTGGTGCGTGCCTGTAATCCCAGCTACTCAGGAGGCTGAGGCAGAAGAATTGCCTGAACCCGGAGGCAGAGGTTGCGGTGAGCCGCGATTGCGCCACTGCACTCCAGCCTGGGTAACAAGAGCGAAACTCCTACTCAGAAAAAAAAAAGAAAATACAGTTTGTAGTGCTAAAGAAACTTAGAGCCTATAAACACAATGACTTAACCAATTAATTCATTTAAAACATCAAAAACAGAACAGACACTGGAGAAAACAGAATTATTCACCAAAAAAAGAAAAAAGGCTTCAGAGGATCACAGTAAATGTAGAGGTGAAAGACAAATCAAAGCAATTAGAACAAGATGGAGAAAAAAAGAAAATTCAATATAAGGAAAACTGGTCTCATGAAGTAGAGAAAACAGTAATTTGACCCAACAAAAATCATTAATGGTAACAAGAAAAATGTTCTTAGAAGAACTAAGGGCATAATATAACTCAGGAAAAAACAATTATAAATGGCACTTAGATATATCTTGTTTACATTACTGAATTTCAAAAATAAAGAAAAAAACCTTTTATGCATTTTAGATTAAAAAAAACAAGCCACCGGCTAGGCACAGTGGCTCAGGTCTGTAATCCCGGCACTTTGGGAGGCCGAGGCGGGTGGATCACGAGGTCAAGAGATTGAGACCACATCCTGGTCAACGTGGTGAAACCCCGTCTCTACTAAAAATAGAAAAAAAATTAGTTGGGCATGGTGGCACGTGCCTGTAATCCCAGCTCGGGAGGCTGAGGCAGGAGAATTGCTTGAACCCAGGAGGCGGAGGTTGCGGTGAGCCGAGATCGTGCCATTGTACTTCAGCCTGGGTAACAAGAGCGAAACTCCGTCTCAAAAAGAAAAAAAAAAAACCAAGCCACCTTCAAAGAGGAAGTGGGGGGGGAAAATCAGACTTTTCTACAGTAACACTAGATGTCCCAAAATAATAAAACAGTGACCATTAAGTTCTAATGAAAATGTTCCCAAACAATATTACCTCCTTGGAAGTTATTTTTCTGGAATGAAAGCAACAGGCAGACATTCTCAAGCATTGACTCAGAGACTACAGTACTCACAAATTCTTCCTGATAAAAATAAAAGGAGAAAACACTGGACAAGGAAATCCAGCCAATCAAAAAACACTAGGAGATTATGGAACAAAATTTACAAAGTTGAGGGGGGAAAACATGTGTGACTGATAAATTTTATACCTAGCCAAGTAATCCTTCAAGTAATATGAAAACAAAAGACAAATATTTTCCATCAATGAAGTTTGTAAGAACCCAAAGAAAGCAGTACCTATAACTTGAAAAGATTTCCTGACAATGAAATTCAATCAGGAGATGGACTAACTCAGGAATGGAGAAGCAAGAGTACTGGTAATCAGCACCAAAACTATTAAAACATAGAACTAAAAGAATCATGACAGAACCATGACAACATAAAGAATATGATCAACATGAAACTAGGCCAATTAATACCCTAGAACGGCCTCCAAATGTTCAAGTGAAAGGAACAGTCACCTGTTTCTCACTTCACATCAAGAGCTAGAAATGATTATACTTAGTGAGGAAGTTATGCTGAAAGCCAAGACAAGCCAAAAGCTAGGTCTCTTGAGCCAGTTAGCCAAGTTGTGAATGCAAAGGAAAAGTTCTTGAAGGAAATTAAAAGGGCTACTCCAGTAAACACACAAATGATAATAAAATAAAACAGCCTTATTGCTGATGTGGAGTGGACAGATGATCAAACAAGTCACAATGTTCCCTTAAGCCAAAGCCTAATTCAGAGCAACCCTATTCTCTTGAGTTCTATGAAGGCTATAAGAGAGGTGAGGAAGCTGGAGAAGAAATGTTGGAAGGCAGCAGAGGCTGGTTCACAAGATTAAGGAAAGAAGCCATCTCCATGACATAAAAGTACAAGGTAAAGCAGCAAGTACTGATACAGAAGCTGCAACAAGTTACCTAGACAATGTAGCTAACATCATTCATGAAAGTAGCTACACTAAGCAACAGATTTTTTTTTTTTTTTAGACGCAATCTTGCTCTTTCACCAGCCTGGAATAATGCAGTGGCACCATCTCAGCTCACTGCAACCTCCGTCTCCCAGATTCAAGCAACTCCCCTGCCTCAGCCTCCTGCGTAGCTGGGACTACAGGCACACACCACCACATCGGCTAATTTTTTTGTATTTTAGTAGAGACAGGGTTTTATCATGGCCAGGATGGTCTCGATATCCTGACCTCATGATCTGCCCGCCTCGGCTTCTGAAAGTGCTGGGATTACAAGTGTGAGCCACTGTGCGGGACCTAGCAATATATTTTTAATGGAGATGAAAGGGCCTCCTTTTGGAAAAAGATGCCATTTAGGACTTTCACAGATAAAGAGAAGTCAATGTCTGGCTTCAAAGATTCAAAGGACAGGCTGACTCTCTTGTTAGGGGCTAAAGGAGCTGGTGACTTCAAGTTGAAGCCAATAATCATTTATCATCCTGAAAATCCCAGGGCCCGTAAGAATTATGCTAAATCCCCTCTGCCTGCTTTCTATAAATAATAAAGCCTGGATGACAGTACATCTGTTTACAGCATGGTTTACTGTTTACAGCATGGTTTATTTTAAGCCCATCATTGAGATCTGCGGCTTAGAAAAAGATACCTTTCAAAATATTATTGCTCATTGACAATGCACCTAATCACCCAAGAGCTGTGATAGAGATGTACAAGGAGATTGTTGTTTTCATGCCTGCTAACACAATATCCATCCTGCAGCCCATTGATCAAGGAGTAATTTTGACTTTCAAGTCTTATTTAAGAAATATATTTCATAAAGCTATAGCTGCCATAGACAGTGATTCCTCTGATGGATATGGGCAAAGTAAACTGAAAACCTTCTGGACAGGATTCATCATTCTAGATGCTATTAAAAACACTCATGATTGATGGGAGATCAAAATATCAACATGAATAGGAGTTTGAAAGAAGATGATTCCAACCCTCACAGATGATTTTGAGGGATTCCAGACTTCTATGGAGGAAGTAACAATGTTTTTATAGCAGAGTTTAGGTATAATTCTATTTGGAGGTAAAAATTTTCTTGATAATCATTAACTTCACACTGGGAAAAAGGGCCAGTGAAGATTTAAGTGTGTCTTCTTTGTTACCTTAAGGACAACATTTACAAATAAAATTATTGCAATTTTATTAGCAGAAAAACAAAATGCTAACAATTAACTTAAAGGGAAGAAGTGTTGCTGGGATTAGAGCCCAAAGCCTTTACATATCTCTTAATGACCGTCTCAGAAAGCTGGGTTAGACAAGAAACAGAAATAAAATCTCTATGGAATATAACCAATGAAATATATACATTCAGCCCTCCATATCTGTTGGTTCTAAATCCATGGATTCAACCAACTGTGGATTAAAAATAGTAAAAAACAAGGGCCAGGCACAGTGACTCACACCTGTAATCCCAGCACTTTGGGAGGCTGAGGGGGGCAGACCACGAGATCAGGAGTCCGAGACCTGCCTGGCCAACATGGTGAAACCCCATTTCTACTAAAAATAGAAAAATTACCTGGGCATGGTGGCGGGCACCTGTAATTCCAGGTACTTCGGAGGCTGAGGCAAGAGAATCACTTGAACGTGAGAGGCACAGGTTGCAGTGAGCTGAGATAGCACCACTGTACTCCAGACTTAGTTACAGAGTGAGATTCCGTCTCAAAAAAAAAAAAAAAAAGAAAAGAAAAAAGAAAAAGAAAAAATATGGATGGCTGTGTCTGTACTGAAAATGTACAGATTTTTTTTCTTGTTATGATTCCATTATCAATGCAAATATAATAACTACTTACACAGCACTTACATTGTATTAGGTATTATAAGTAATCCACAGATAATTTAAAGTATATGGGAGCATGTGCATAGGTTATAGGCAAATACTACATTTTATATAAGGGACTTGAACATTCATAGATTTTGGTATCCTCAGAGGTCCTGGACCTAATACCCCATGGGTGCCAAGAAACAACTGTATTTAGAGGTAGAACACCTCTGCTTTTCCTATATGTCCATACTTTTAACAACTACTGTTCTTACAAATAATCCTAAGTCAAGCAATAAAACTTCAAATTCTATTAACAGCTTAAAAATACCAGGAAATACTCTGAACATCATTCATCTGCCAAAGAAAATAACTGAGTACTTTTCCTCTTTTAAACCAAAAAAAGTTTTAATTCTAAGGAAAGCTTTAATACTCATTTTAGACATTCCTCTAATACATCTGTTTACTATATATCACAGAAATATATTCTGGTTATTAATAATCTCACTTCTTACCAGGATCTGCTAATCCAGTGGTCTCTAACAGTATGTAATCAAATTTCCCCTTCTTCTGCATCAAATTCTCAATAGCTTTCAGGCCATTGTCCCTGGAGAATACCAAAACATAATTTACAGTTGATTACCTAAATATTTTGAAGTAATTATTATAAACATTTTTAAATATACTCAACAACGAGAGACAAAAGTGTCCCTAGGAATGTGAAAATTTAACTCATTTCTAAGCTTCTAACAAAATGTCCATCCCATATTTACCAGTGAGAAAACAATAGATGCATATACTCTAATAGGTAAAAAGAAACCATATACAAAAGAATAGTTTAATTTTATTAAAATTAAAAGTAGAGGGAACTTTATCTGACCAAAGTCAGTATCTTATTTTTATAGCTTTATGAAATTAAAAAAAAAAATCAACATCCAAAATAATGATAAAATGTATTAACTATAGAAGTTTAATATAATAGCTAAAGGGGCACTGATATCAAACACCATTTAATTCTTTTTTGCATTAGGATACAAGGTTTTAATTTCCCTTTTTTTTTTAATTTTATCAAAAGTGAAGGAAAATACTTAATAGATTACATTTTGGTTGTTCGAGAAAGTCTGTTATAATTTTATCCTTGCCAATACATTTGACACAAAGTCAAACCCCTAAGGGGTAAATGACGCTGAAGAGATTTAATTCACTAGAATATACAAAATTAACAATACAAGTAACCATTTTTATAATTCATTCAACAAACAATAGAGTACTACTATGTGTTGGGTACTCTTCTAGGGTCTATGGTAGACTAGTGAACAAAACAGACATTGTCCTTGGAAACTTAACTAGTGGAACATAATGTAAGGTTTTTCTCTTTTTCAATAGTCATTTATTTTTGTTTTTATAAGGTTAAAATACTTGGAAATAAGACCAATGATGTATTAAATTCAGAATAATCATTTTTTACATGAGACTTTCATGTACTAGAGATTATTAATTAAATAAGCCCTGACATCAAAAGCATTAAAAACTCAAAGGACTAAAGCATTAGAGCAGATAGAAAAGATAATAAGAAACACTTTAAGAAAATGCTTCCTAATAAGTTTATTTTCTGTTTGACAATACAATGAAGCAAACTGTAAATTCAGTTAAATTAAGAAAATTAAAATTGGAAATATAATCAATAAACATTTCTAGTAAACCAAGTACATAGCAAACACATTTCTCACTTCACTGAACAGCAGAGGCAACCGTTTCTAAGTTCCAGCCACTCTTCATAGAGCTCTCCACCTTGGCTGACAGCTAAGGATTTCTCCAGCGCACTTCCTAGAATAATTAACAAACAGCACTCTTTACCTTACGTCCATTAGTCAAAAAAAACAAAGATGAGGGTAACTCAATAATGGAGATCTAAAGCAGAAACTGCATTTTATAACATTCTTTCATTTTATTCATGCAGCCTCCATATCTAAATTACAGTACACTACATTATTTTAGCTTTAAGATAACTTAAGCCCCTAAAAAGACACACCCTACACTGATAAACATACCTACTTCCTCCTTAGGCCTCTTCATTGGCCACCCCCATTTCTTAATATAGTAGGTATCTTGAAGGCATTTTTTTCTTGTCTAGGGTAAGCTTTCTAGATACGACTGGTATACTTTATATATTGGATTTTGTATGCCCTTCAACATCTTATGAGATTGCCTTATCTATCTTTTTCTCTTCATTCCTCTTCTAAATTGTTTCTGTTAGACAAACTGCTGAATATTCCCACTGAGTGAAAACCCTAGTTCATTTGGAGAAAGGTTTTTGGCCAGGGTATCATGTGCTCATTTAAATATTAAACGTTTAGTCAAGTTAACATAGTTTTCTACCAATGCGTACTTAAGAAAGAATAAACTATATTTGAAATGCTTGTAATCTATAATAATTATTTTAAATGTTTTACTTTTCTTCTAATAAAGAAATATACCAAATGGTGAAGAATTCTAAAAGTGCCATAAGCAAATGAGCCACCCATAAAATTAAGTGTCTTTACATATATATTTTTGATCATATTTCAGGTAGGTATCAATAAAGAGCTTCTGAAGGGATTGCTACAGCATTCAGACTGTATACAGAATGTTAATGAAACATGAAGGAAAGTATTGAGAATGCTGTGAAAGTAAAATTGTGAAAATGATCCCGGAAATAATAAAGAAAATAGTAAGAATAAATGTAATTGGTGTGCAACAGGCTATTTAATAAGATGCTGGGGAAAAAAAAAAGACTGTTATTAGAAATCTCAGGATTTTTCCCTAAAAAGCACTTTTCTCTTTAGTTTATTAAAACCAGAAATCCAATGTAACAGTCTTCCCATCCTGTTCATAAAACCTAGCTTTTACTTTTTACAACTGAAAAAAATAGTATATTTTAAAAGAAATAGTTTAATAGATACTGGTTGTTGGCTAGAAGGGAGGTTTGATTATAATTCATACTTATGAAGAAAAATTCCTATAAAGGTATTCAAAGTATTGTGTCTAGCACTACTTTTTTTAACCACAGCTTGATAGTTGAGTTGAGAAGTCAAGCACACTTATTTTCACAAATAATTTAAGCTACATGAGGATAAAGACCATATATTTAACGTACTTTTAAAATCTTTGGTTTTAACTGCATTGCAAATAATAAATGTTAAACAAAGTAAACATAACTGAAGCATTTTCAAATATTTTTCATGAGTTGCAATAGAGTTCACACAAAAGTACCGTTCTAGTTTCTAAAAGTTTTTCATATGTCTAGATTTTTGCTTCTTGAGTCATTTATTTCACGTGAAAATATAGTTTAATTCTGTTAATATGAATTCCAAAGTTATACAAAATAAAATTTTATGAAAATTTCAGTATCTCAACCCATATAAATCTTAACAGAAATTAATTTTTCCAAACCTATCCACATCAATATATTGCATTTTCATTTTTAAATATGGAATATCAATTCACCAGAAAAATAAAGTCACATAAAATCTTGCCACATGACATTTATTGAACTTTACTTACCTTCCCCAAATTCATTTAGAATGACTGCTACTCTTTTACTATGTTGCTCTGTCAAAATATAGTTCAGAAGTGTTGTCTTCCCAGCACCTATAAAACATATTTGTTGTAAATAAAAAAATTCAAAATAATTTTAAAGACACAAAAAGATATAAAGAATCCTAATGTTTTTGAGAATTTGCATGCTATTTTTCATATATTAAACTATAGTATAGAACATCCTAGAGGATAAGATTAACGCACTCTTTGAAATGTAATGCAAAATGCTACATATAGACATAAAATTTTATAAATATTTACAAATACTCCTACAAGTTGAAACAGTTTCTTCAACCTAACCTTTCCTAAAATTTATACATAATGACCCTTTATTTCAACATTAACAAGACACGAATTCACGCTGACTATATGGCTACTTTTAGTATGCTTTAAACAATCTATAAACATTTTATGAAATGCAGAATAGAGGCAGGTAGTGTCAACAATGGACAGAATATTGGGTAAATATAAATTCGTAAGTCTATACCAACTTTATCCAGCAGGTGGCATATGAAACTAATATATTAATCTCAAGTAGAAGAAAAATAATTGTCCTGTGAACCACATACACTAAAGTTCATAGAGGAAAGAAAACCTAACTGCATAGTACTGTAGTTCAACTGTATGACTGTATCATTTCTTTATCTTTTTTCTTGGACATTTCATTTGTTTCCAGTGTTTTACTACTACAGTTCTGCTAAAAACTTTTACATGTAGGCTATACATATCTTCAGAAATACATTAAGTTTTCTAGTGTATAACTAGGAAGATTTTATGGAGTATCAGGGTATTAATATCTTTTTATGTCATATTCCTTTCAAAGCTTTTTAAGAGATGAAGGCTTATGTTTAGGGTACTTTAGGAAGCTCAACATCACAAAAGTGTGAAGCACAGAATGGAAGAGGGAGACTTAAGGAGACAGGGCAATGAGGAAAATCTTAAAACCAGTCCAAGCCTGAGACAGAGGCCCTGAACATGAATGTTTCACAGGGCAGTGACGTGAAAACTGAAATTAAACAATGAATGTAAGAAACCTTCTAACAGAAGATTTACTAGGGCTTTTTAACCATATTATGAAGAAAAACACTGTAAGACATAGTTCATTCATTCGAAGGTTTATACTATGCAACAGATTTATCCTCGGCCTTGGTGAAAATGTGAGACAGACAGTCTCTGCCTTTATGAAGCTTAGAAGTATCAAGGGAAGGAGAGGAATTCAGTGAAGAAGGAGGCAATTATGTCACAGGATGGCACATTCAATAGGTGTATAAAATGCTATGGAGAACCTAAGAGGGACATCTAGCCAGAGGAGTAACAGTAAAAAAAAGCACATATTCCAAAGGGCTAAAATACTTGGCACCTTTTAAGTCACAGTTCATTGTGCAGGGACATTTTGGCCAGCTGGAAAGCTTGGTAAGATCCAGATCCACAGGTCCTTGTAATTCATGTTAAGGAATTTGAACTTTAACCCATATGGATGCCACTGAAGGGTGTGACACAATCGGATTGGCATTTATAAAGATCATGAAGGCTAACATGCAACAAATAAATTAAAGGGCAGCAAGACTCCAGATTAGTTAGGTGGCTTTTAGAGTATTCCAAGTGGTTGGGATCACAGGAGCAGGATCTGGGGGAATGGTAACGGAAGAAGTTTCAGACATGTTAAGCTGTAGAATATCAAAACAGAATTTACACAGGTGTGTAACTAAACATGGACAAAGAGGGTGGCGGGGGGTGGGGGAGCCTTAAAAATGAAGCCAGAAAAGCAGGTGGAAAAATCAGAAGAAAAATGTAATAGAAGCCAAAGGAAAAGTGTTTCAAAAAGGGAAAACAATCAGCGATAAGGAGTGAAACTATCCCTAGATTCAGCAACAAAGTTGCTGGCATCAGTCCTCATTCCTGAGCTTCAGATCATTTTCTCCAATGATCTACTGACCTACCAGTGAGCAACACGGAAAAGGCCCGAGGGGCAGCTTTGAAATACATTGTTTTAGACAAGAAATGTGTTCATCTTCTCAGAAGAGCACCCTCTGAATAAGTGGGGAAATGTCAAAAATCGATTCCTTTATATTTCTGAGCAAAAACGGGAATAAACTTACAGTCTACAAAATAAAAAGAAAGGAAACACCAGTAATTTCTCATTTTTACATAAAAGTTCCTCCTAGCAGCACCTAGAAATATTATTTCCCTGAAACAGTATCACTCTATTTACATTTCTTAACTTTTTCCACACTTATAAGTCATATATTTGTTCTAGCCCTTCTATTTAACTGTAAGGTTTAAAAATATGTTTCTCAAACTTTTCCAGTAATAAAACTTCTAGTGTAAGTGCATACACTGCCCTTCACAAAACCATCAAGTGCACAAACTTGGGGTTTCGAGTAACCCGGTACACTCCTAAACTTTTGTAGTTTGAGAAATAGTCTTGGAGGGCAGAAATTTTATTCTTACTTTCCTAGGCAGTGGTTTGCAAAGACCTTAAGAAGTGTTTGAGATAGGAGCACTTCCCGCTAACTGGCTGGAGGGCTTTGGCTCGCGGGGAAGGGGAATCTACTGAAGAATGCCCCATTCGTGTCGGGGATTTTACAAACGGGACGTCCTTTAAGGGCAAACCGTTAATGGTTCCCGTCCCGTTTCACAGGTGACAGGTATTTTTCCATTTTCAGTGAAGCCGATGAGCATCAGAATGGTGACGTAACTTGGTAAGACGGCACAGAGATAATTAGGGGGCGTGTCTGAGCTTCAAAGTCTTGTTGCAAAGGCATCTCCTGAGACGAGACGTCAACCCACACGAGGAGAAGGTGACCCAGCCCCTACCTCAAGGACATTTGCTCTTGGTCACGAGGCCCCAATGCCTCAGGAGAAGAGGCACCGGCAGCCCCCAAAATCCCAGGACACCAGAGTTCACGGCATTTTGTGACCGGGATGGTTAGTTACCTAAATACCCGGTGATAATTGTGACTGGGATCTTGGCGCCGAGCCCAGACTTTTCCTCCTCCTCGCTTTGCTTCGTCTCAATGGGAACCAATTCAGGACAATCCTCCTCCGCAGGATCCTCTTCCTCAGCCACAGCTCCAACAGGCTGTAACATTCCGGCCTACACCACGTCCGGACCTCAGCTGAAGGGCTGGAACCAACACGCCGAACCGCAGCCGCGCACGCCCAGCGCGCCACACCAGGCCGGGCCGGGGAATGACGTCATCACATCGCGACGCCAGCTCCTCCTGATCCCACCCAGATTACCTGGGCTCCGGACGAGAACCGCCCCGTGCCTTAGCCACGCCCCCTAGGAGGTGGGCTCTCCCCGACGGAAGCTGGACACGCCCCTGGTCGTGTTCTGTGAACCTGAGCGATGCTGCACCGGGTCCTTGGGGCGCCTTGAACCGGCCTGAAGGTGCCACTGGTGCCTGCCTGCAGCCTTAATAAGCTACTGACTGTTGATAGGGCTGAGGCCAGGCTGCTGGAAATCTGCAGTGGGTAGCCTGACCTAACCAGTTCCTACAGGGCATAGACTATCAACTTGATTTGTCCTAATAAAAAATAATACTAATAATAAACCGGGCACGGTGCTGACGCCTGTAATCCCAGAACTTTGGGAGGCCGAGGCGGCCGGATCACTAAGTCAGGCGACCGACACCATCCTGGACAACATGGTGAAACCCCGTCTCTACTAAAAATATAAAAATGAGTTGTGTGTGGTGGCCGGCGCCTGTAATCCCAGCTACTCAGGAGGCTGAGGCCGGAGAATCGTTTGAACCCGGGAGGCACAGGTTTCAGTGAGCCGAGATTGTGCCACTGCACTCCAGCCTGGGCAATAGAACTAGACTCCGTCTCAAAAATAAATAAAAATAAAGTTTTAATTCATAAAGAATGGAAGGTTATAACATTACAATGTTAATTGTAATTTTTCTACCTGAAGGATAACCTGTGACACATTTTTTTTTATTATATATTATATATGTATATCCAAATTTTTGGTATTTATGCATCACTCTTATTTACTTTTGTCTCATTATTTATTTAGACCTCAGGTAGCCTAAGTTCATTAATTATATTTGCTGGTTCATGACACTCTCTTATAACTAATCCATATATAGCTCTTTTTTCTAATATAAATTTATAATGAACTCCTTTTACCTCATCTCTAACGAAAGAACATTACCAGTAAGTTACATAGTTACAGCTACCTATGTGCACTGCTCCAGCTTCCAATCCACAGCCTGCCGCATAAGATAGTAATCACAATCATGAATTGGTTCTGGATTGCTGATCATTCCCTCTTTTCTTTTTAGTTTTATCACATATATCACATATGTACTTAGATAATACGTTGTTTAATTTTGCTTGTTTTTGAACTTCGTAAAATTATCCATATAATATATAAACTGCTGAGGCTTGCTATATTTTTCAACATCACTGCTGTCTTGTATTCTATTGTGTGGCTACATGGCAATTTATTCGTTTCCTCTCAATTGTTCCAGGTTTTGCTCTTATGAACAGGGCTGCTATGAACATTTTTCATGATGTATGTGTGGACGACTTTCTCTTGGGTGTCTGTGTAAGAGTTGAATTGCTGGGTCTTCAGTTATGCAAATGTTATACTTACAAGAAAATGCACAATTATTTTTTCAAAATGTTTTTCGAAATTGATACATTTTCCCCAGAAAAGTGTCAGAGAGCTCATTGGTCTATATGTCAATATTATCAGACATTAATTTTTTGCCAATCCATTGAGTAAAAAAGAAGCCTTCATTGCGGTCTTCATTTGCATTTCCTTGATTACTAACAAGGTTGAGAATCTTTTAGCAATATTGAATTCTTAGAATGACCCTGTGAAATGTTATCCCTCTTTCAAACATGGGGCACCAAGAGTTAAATTACTTGTCCAGGTTAGGTCATAAAAATCTAACTGATGCAAAAGTAGAATGTTTCACTACTATCCTGATGCCAATTAAAGGTTGACTTTTCCTTCCTTCTCTGAAATTCCCCATAAAATATACTGTGTGTATTCCATTATTTCTACTGATATAGATATATAATTTAAAACGTTTCTTTGCAGTATTTATTATACCTTTTGTAGAATACAGTTAAGGTAGAGGGTTCATTTTTGTACAAATGAGTATAATGATATTATAATCCCACATACACTCAGTCTGAGAAATCAGACTTGAATGCTTTGCTAGTTTTGACAATGTAATCATGACCCAGCTGAGGCAGAAATGAGGCAAACACCTTAGGCCTGGTGGTTCAGTTCACTTTATTCTGCCAAAGGAGAGAAGCTGTGAAGAACAGCCCAAAATAGATAGAATTAATGGTTCACAAGCTTTTTGATTTCAGGAATGCTATGAAGTATGGATTTTTTATTTTTTGGCAACCTAAGTGAAGGAGTAACATTGAACCCACAGGCATCTCACTATTTTCTTGGTGTCCCTTCAGCACTGTATTACTGCCTGAATAGTAGCTATTACAGCCCTCACCACCTTCTTTTACATATTTTTAAAACTACATTCTTATAGATCCCCTTATATGCCACTGGCTAAATGATATACTAAAATGTCTCTTTCTGTTTTTTCAAACAGGGTCTCACTCTGTCACCCAGGATGGAGTGCATTGGCACAATCGCAGCCCCCTGCAGTCCTAAACCCCTGGGCTCAAGTGATCCTCCTGCCTCAGACTCCCGAGTAGCTGGTACTACAGTCACATGGCACTGTGTCTGGCTAATTTTTCTTTTTCTTTTTGATAGAGACAGGGTCTTACTATGTTGTCCAGTCTGGTCTAAAATCTCGTCTCTAACAATGAGCAACCTGTAACCTATGACCAGCTCACTCAAGTTGACCGAATAGCATTGTTGTAATGGTATGTAACCTCAGTCAGAGCAAAATAAGTTTTACACATTGGCCAAAACTTAAATACACTACAAATGTCTAGCAACTGATAGACAAACAAAATGAGACAAATGGATAAACAAAATGTGATCTATCCATACAATGGAAAATTATTTGGCAACAAACAGGACAAAGGACAAACAAATCAATCTTGAAAACATTATGCTAACTGAAAAAAAGCCATTCACAAAAGACCACATGTTGTATGATTCCATTTATATAAAATATCCAGAATAGGCAAATATATAGAGATAGAAAGTGCATTAATGGTTGCCAGGAGCTGAGGGCTGGGGAGACACTAGAATGGTTTTTTAGGCAGTGATGAAAATGTTCTAAAATCGATTATGGTGATGGTAGTACAATCTGATTATACTAAAACCATTGACTCATACGCTTTAAAATGGTGAATTGTATCGCGTATGAAATTTATCTCAATAAAGCTGCTATTCTGAAAAGAAATAAAGGCCTCTCTGTGCAGCAAAATGGGGTGTCGGTGTGCATTTGCAAAGAAATGCTGTCTTCAGCAGTTTCAAGTCCTGCCCTAGGAACAAGTATAAAAATTACAGCTGGATAAAATTTTTCCTTTAGTCTGTTTCATATTCCTCTTCAGTAAACTTTTTATCCATGGATTCTGTGGAGTCCTGACATGACTTTTTATTTCCCCTCTTTTCAAGAAGGAGCTCTTGCTCTGTTGCCCAGGCAGGAATGCAGTGGCACAATCTTGGCTCACTGAAACCTCTGGCTCCTGGGTTCAAGTGATTCTCCTGCCTCAGCCTCCCGAGTATCTGGGATTACAGGTGTGTGCCACCACGCCTGGCTAATTTTTGAATTTTTGGTAGAGACAGAGTTTCACCATTTTGGCCAGGCTGGTCTCAAACTCCTGACCTTGTGATATGCTCGCCTCAGCCTCCCAAAGTGCTGAGATTACAGGCATGAGCCACTGCACCTGGCTGACTTTTTTTTTTTAATTTTTTTTTTTTTAAACTTGTAACAGGGTTATCTATTCTGCGTGAGGCTTTGCCATTGTTGTTAAATTTTAAATGCCTTTTTAAATAAGTACATTTCTTAATTATTATAGAATCTATTACAGTTTCTGATGTAACTTAAAATTTCTCCCTCATTTAGCTTTGCTATTTTGTTTCATTTCATTTACTTTAGGGTAAAACAACAAAAATAACAATAACAATGTGTTGAGCCCTTAAGCATTTGATAGGTACTGTGTTAAGCACATTAAATGCATTACTACATTTAACTCTCCCAGGTAAAAACTATTTGTATGCCCATTTTATAGATGAGGAAACTGAGGCTTAGAAAAAAAAATATCTTGCTAAAAGTCATACAATCAGTAATGGCAGCCCTTAGGCTCAATCCAAACCTGCTTGACACAAAATCCCATGCTATTCTAAACCAGAAGATCTGCAAACTTTTCCGTAAAACTACGTAGTAAAGATCTTAGTCTTTACAGATCAAAAAGCAAATTTGAGGACATTGTGTAGTACTTATATAAAAAGAGAAAGTAAATGTCTACTAGTTTGAATTTGAATTTCATGTGTTAAACAAAATTATGGGAGGCCATTTTTTTGGGCTGAGCTCCTGCACTAAGCCCAAGCAGACCCGACCAAACCAAAATGGAGTCAGTCATGCTAATGCTAAGTGCTAAAAAATCAAACTAAAACTTCAAAAATACAGGTCCCAAAATAGACCAGTTTTTCTCTTCTCCTGGAAACAGGAGATTCAAGCATAACAAGGAAGTTGTCTCTGCTCTATCCCTTACAAAAAAGTAATCTGAGCCGGATGAAGTGGTTCACTCCTGTAATCCCAGAATTTTGGAAGGCCCAGGCAGATGGATCACCTAAGGTCAGGAGCTCAAGACCAGCCTGGCCAACATGGCAAAACCCCATCTCTACTAAAAATACAAAAATTAGCTGGGTGTGGTGGCACACACCAGCAAGAAAATCTCTTGAATCCAAGAGGTGGAGGTTGCAGTGAGCCAAGATTGTGCCACTGCACTCCATCCTGGGTGAGACTAGACTCTATCTCAAAATAATAGTAATAATAATTTGATGCTAACCAGTTGGTTTTGTTGTTGTTACTTTGTTTTGTTTTGCTAGTCTGTTTCCTTGTTCCCACCTTACAAAACCCAGTGTTCTGCTATTTTCTAACGGGATTAGAGACCAAATAACTCTATAACAATAAAAAGTGATGTCAATGCCTAAAGTTTTGGACAACCTCAAAATTAATCATCCTCTCAAAATTGAGAGGTTGACCAAAAGGAGGAATTGTTAAATTCTGTGTGGCCTAAAAAAAACTTTCTCCTTACATATTTTAAATTTGCCCTAAAGGTTTCCCAGTATATAAAAAGCTGTAACCCAACTTGATGTGTATAACGA